AGCTCCCCAACACTACAGACAGCTTTGCATTGCAAAACGCTTCTATCCATTTATCCGCCATGTATGTATCTCTCTCCTCTCCTCCTCCACCCACCCTCTCTCCCTCACATCATCTAGCCCAGCCACTCTTTGAAAAAGAGAAAGAAAGATTTTTTTTTCATGCCGATTCTCCGCAGTGCCCCGGGGATCCCAAAAACAACTCAAACCTATCAGCCCGACAAGCCTTTGAATTTGCGGTAATCTGAGGTTAATCTGACAATTAACTCGGCACGTTTTTGTACTCGTCAACACGACGGTTGTCATTCACAACCTTCGTAATGAGCGATAAGAAGTTAAGATCAGGCAGTTTTGGGGTGTAAATGCACACATCCTTGACATTCTCATAGTTGAGGCAAAGGTACACACTCAAGCATCCCGAACAGTCACACACATCATCTCTGTTCACTCGCTCTACAAACAGATGTACATACACAGCTTTTCCTTCTCACTGTTTACATAGTTACAGTACAAACACTTCAGGTTTGATTTACCCTTTTTCACCTTTAAGCCCCCTTTGCATCAGATCCAAAAGCAACAATAAATGTTTCATCTTTTCAAAGCGTGTTCTCTGCTGCGATTCGCAAATACTAGGCCAAGAAATCTCTCCGATTGGAACTTCTTCATACATCAGCACTGGCAGTTGTTAGCATTTTCTCTTATTGTATAAAGAGAGATACATTTAGCAGTGACTGCATGGCACAAACTGTACAATATCAATATCACACACACACTAAGCTAAACGATGAAGACTACTAATTGCAAAAAATAATAACTACTAAATCTGAGTTGTGATGCAACTTTGAAGTTTTGTTATTTTCTTTAATCTGTAATAGAAAATTATCGGGTTAAAGACAAGCATAAGAAATCTCCACAGCAGTCGTAAATTGTCAGAATGTGTACAACAAGTTGCAGAGACTGTGCTAAATGTGCACGCATTGTCCGACAACTTTCAGGAACTTGATCACATTGTAGTTTTTCATTTTCGCATTTGTTCTTTCACTGCAACTGCACCAAACCCTGACAACAACCCCTCAACTCCTCATTTCTTCTACACATCTGCTGAGTACGATAAGCAAAATGTACATACTGCTCTGACACTAGGTGTTCACTAGGTATGTGTGTGGTGCGTTAAAGGAGAAAAAAGCCTCCAGAAGATGTGTTTGGCTGAAAAAAAAACAACAACAGGGAGTAGCAGTAGTAGCATGCTTATCAGTGGAAGTCTCTCTTATCACTCTGATGAGACAATGTCCTTCAACGGGCCTGTGCAGGAAAAAAAAAAAGAAGAAAGCGACAGCTTCCCTCATCACTCAAAACCTGCACACTATAGCAGGTAAATTTACGCACCAGTACTGCTGCATTAGTCTTTTTTCAAAATCATTTAACAATTAAAAAAATATCTGATTTTGTGATATTATTTCACATAGCAGGAAACAATAAAAAGCTAACATACATGTATGTTAATATGTATGAAAATATCATGCTCGTGTTCACTTGTGAGTTAATAAACAAATTAGCAGAATGAAGCTTGTTAGGAAATTAGTCCGGATGCGTTAAGACGGGGAGAAAAAAAGAAACCATTCAAACAGGCAGCGTCAAAGGGATTAACCGAGATTACAGCAACTGAGCTAGTAAACAAGCTCATTTAAATAATTAGCATACTTAGGGACTCTACTCTTTATGCATATTTAATTAGAGCTATAATGTAATAAGGGACATAGCTGTATTAAACGTAACATGATAGGTGCACATGGAAGCACAGTCAACAGCTGGAGGTAGGTTTAAAATAATCAAAATACTTGTACAATGTAACATTAAATTGAAAAATGTATCATAAACAATGCTATAAATGTGCTTACATTTAACTGTATTTGTAAGCAAATAATGGATAATTGTTAAAACACAAGAATAGACTTTGGAAAGAAAAGTATTGCATGAGTACACCTATACATACACAAACACACAATTCACTCATAAGCAAACAAGTTATTTTATATATATATATATATATATATATATATATATATAATGTACAGGAGTACTGTGATTTAAGAAAATATTAAACGTAACATGATAGGTGCACATGGAAGCACAGTCAACAGCTGGAGGTAGGTTTAAAATAATCAAAATACTTGTACAATGTAACATTAAATTGAAAAATGTATCATAAACAATGCTATAAATGTGCTTACATTTAACTGTATTTGTAAGCAAATAATGGATAATTGTTAAAACACAAGAATAGACTTTGGAAAGAAAAGTATTGCATGAGTACACCTATACATACACAAACACACAATTCACTCATAAGCAAACAAGTGATTTTATATATATATATATATATATATATATATAATGTACAGGAGTACTGTGATTTAAGTAAATATTAAATGTATATATTTAAGTATTTAAAAAAACACCTCACACCAGATCACAAAATGTAAAAGTAAAAAAAAAAAAATAAATTGTCTTGCAACTATTCATCTTTTCTTGAGACACAACAGTAGCCACTTTAAGCTGTCACGATACAGCTATAACATTTAGTAATTAATTTCTTTATCTTTTTTTCTCATTCTCTCCATTACTGAACAGGCATAAAGAACAACTCAAGCAGACTGGGTGGTGGATCAGGGCCTTGCCTTGCCCTCCCGCAGTTGAGACCTCCAACGGCCGAGAAGTTCATTAAGTTTTATGATCTTCCTCTAGTCACTTCTGCTTATAAGCCACACAAAGGCCACAAATCTGGCAAAGCATTATTCTGCCTATACAACCACACAGAGATATGATAAACACATGAACTGATATCTGAATGCCATTACATTACTGTATTCATCTTTGTTCAAAAACTAGGTTTAAGCTCGAGTATGTGAATTGACCATCTCTTTCCTTTTCAAACATTAAATGTCATTTGTGAACCTATTAATAAAGTAATACATATGATAAAGTTTATTTTAAAAAAAATAGCACTCAAAAACATTATTTCAACATGCTATAAAATAAGCTTTTATTTTTTTATGCTAAAAATTAAAAAGTAAAGACAAAAGCACAGTTATTAGTCTAATTCAGTGCGTTTGCCATTGTATTTTGGGCTCACCTTACAGGGTTTCGCTCTGCTATTCTCCTTCCGCATTATCCAGAAATACATACTGCACATTCCTGGTAAATGCCCCTTATCTTAGGGTCTCTCTGGATTCTGCATATCTGGTTATGTGGTCATTCTCTCTTTATACCTGCGCCCTGCATGATTGCAGAACGCGCGCGCCTTTGCGCACATCACGCGCGTTTGTTAACCGTCGCAGCATAAAGGAAAAACTGCACATTAAATTACATCCACTAAGCTACTGGACGTACTGAACTAATTCTCTTTCAACGGGTGCTGATTTCTCCCTCAAAGAAAAAAAAACTGTCTTTTGTGAGACAGTGACATATGCTAATGTTCCGTGTCATTGGGGCAGGCGGTATAGCCTTGGTAACGCACGTGCTGAATTGATGTTGTATCGGTCATTGGACATCATTTACAGTGCGCGCGCGACAGACTATTTCAGAGGTGCTTGAGTGTCAGAAAAGGTGGAAATAGAATATTTCTGTTTGTTATAGACTTTCATATGCACTCAAAAATATTTTTCTCCATGTCTATAACACACTTCTAATTACAATAAAGTGATGTCACACACGAGCCACAGGAAAGTAAACATCTTGTGCGTTTGTGCTTCTGCCACAAAAATTAATTTAAAAAAGGTCCCTAAACGGTGTTAGTGATAAAGTAAGCTTGCCATTCAGGATCAATGTTTTGTATTAGTTAAATATTGACATTTACAAACAAATATTAACACTTGGGTCTCCGTCAGTGGTCAGTTAAGTCATACACTGTAAATTAAAATAATAATAACTAACCATTAAATCAAGTTTAATTACAGCTTTAATTTTTAAGTGGTGCAACTTAAGTGACAACTTACAGTTCATTACACTTTTTAACCACTTTGCATTTAATTACTGATAAAGAAATCCAGATTAAGCTTAAAACACACATAGTATTGAGTATAAATTGCATAACTTATTATAAGATTATTAGGATTTAAATATTTGCCCATGTGTAGCCTACTATATTATCTTTTTTTTTTTTTTTTTACAAGTTAGGCTCGCATCAAAGTAATAATAAATGCCATATCGATCATTCCTGATCATAACACGTTCCTTTTTACACAACAACAAAAAAACAACAACGACACTAGATAACGCCAAGCGTCTTTGCACGTGTCGGAGAACGATGTAACCTTCACAGCGCTGGCGTCTTTCATAATAAAATGGGGGCAATAATTAACTGCAGGACCGCCGATACTGCCAATAATTATCCAGTAAATTGGTCGCATAATTAGGCAGAGGAGCGCAGGAATTGGACCGCGCTCCGAACCACGAACACGCGTAAACGCTCACTGGGCTCGCAGTAGCACAGTTAAACAAAACAAGCCTGATATACAACACCAACCCAGCACAAAACATATCCTCAATGACAAATGCAGAGTATCCCGAAGATGCATAAATGCCTAACAATTCACCAAGTGTAGGTCTTGAAAGATTAAATGGATGGTGTGAGAATAACGCGCTGTAAACAAGGGAACTGCCGGGGTGCTTCTCTCATACATGCCCCCAGAAGAAGGCACTCAGTTCAGCCTCACGATGCAACGCAGAGGGGGGGGGGGGAGCTCATCGTTACATATTTCACACTCTTATTCTTAGAAATCCAATTATTACTATTCATTCTCAGAAGTGAGAAACAGAAATGTGGATGTTGGATTTGGCTTGGTACAACTGGACTCCGCTGACGACCAAAGAAAAAAAAAAGAAAAGAAACACCAGTAAAGATGGCGGTGTCTGACGGATTAGTGGCACTGTATTGTTGCTTTTTTCTTCTTGAGATGTCTGTGCGTAATTTTGCCCTTTTGTTCGGGTATGCACTATCTTACCTGTTTTCTCTTTGATCTCGCAGAGGACACTGAAGAGGGCTGGCTTCATTCTGTGACAGTTGAGCCCATGTTTCCTGTGCCATTTGGGAGCAAGAGACAAGATTGATATATAGTCACTTAAAACTCATAACTCTTTCGCATTACAACTTTAGAAGACATCAAGTCTCGAGTTTAAATTTAACCTTAAACTGCATCCGTTTAAAGGTGATAAACGCATATAGGCAAAGCTGGCTTTACACACATCACAGAAGTTCAAAACAAAGCTACTTAAAATTAGTACCCAATATTTCTATTCATTGTCAACAAAAAAGTTGTGTAGTTGCTAAGGGCTGTAAAAGTATCAAGGCCTTCTTAAGTTTAGAAGTAGGAAAGTGTGATGTAGAAACTTTTAATGAGATGCCCACATGTGTTGAGTATGCTACTTTACCTGTGTATCATTCTCAGAGGCTATTTTTTTAATATCAGCTACAAGTTTGGTGAAAAGTAACTATGATATTCTGTCTAAACTTTATAATTTGAGACATTGTCATTTTAACCTGTGATACGGCCACCTGGAGTTCAGATGCAAACGTGACTCTCAAGGTATTACTATATTAACATTTGTGAAAAATTAGTTGGGACGAGAGTTTCAATGAGTGGTCAGTATTGTACAATAAAGTTAGCTGTTGTAACGTGTGAATGGAAGCACTATAAGCTATTTTACAAATAAAATGAGAAAGCATTAATATAAAGACTTTCTGAACAAAACAATAGGCTATAAACGTGTGTATTAAAATAATAATGCACCAACTTTGCTTGCGCCTCGTCCAGGCTTTGGTCGGTGATGGTCATGATCTGATGCAGAATGTCACCGATGTCTTGTTTTCTTCCATCCCCATCGGTTCCGTCGTGTCCGTGTGGAGGCGGCAGAGCCATGCCTCCCTGTACCGAGTGACCGGCCAGGCTGACACCGCCGAGAGCCTGCATGATCCGGGCTTGCTCGTCCATAGTCCGCCGCAACACAATCAATGCGCTCGTGCTCAGTCACTGAGATGGGTGAAATAAAGTCGGATAATGCACATGCAAAAACAACTTGTTTATTTCATGTGCGGTGGTTAACGGGTCGCTATCGTGCACAAAATATTGACCGTGAAGCAACGCATCAAATACGATAAATCGCTGGATGAAATATAGTGGAATTGATGTCCCAGGAATCACTTTATGGAAAAGATTTATATCGTCTTTGATCCTCCTGTACGAATGTCCATCGGAGAAAAATTAGCGATGCTATTTCGTGCCTATTATTTAAGTAAACTTCAGCGTTCAGGTGACAGTGGTTGCCCGTTCAATCCTGTCTGAATCTTCATGCCAATTTGTCTTTTTCTTTGAAGAGCTGGGGTCCTTTGCAGATGTCTGGAATTCTTATTTGCGGTCTTCTAAGGATAATTTCGCCTTGTGCACTTCTGGAAAACTTGGACAAATCCGTAGTATTACAAAGAGTTGCAAGCAAAACATCCCATGCCTCTGATGGAAAGTAACAATTAATCAAAATTAATGATTATGTAATTAAAAATAAGCACACTGAGTGTGAACAACAGGCAAAAATATTGCCTTTGAAAAGATTTTCCAAAAATAAAATATAAGAAAATAAAAGAAGCCGAGTGAAATAAATTAAACCATCAGCACCGGCGACCAGAGCTATAAAGATTGTAGGGAAAAAAATATAAAAACGTATAAAAAAGTTTTCTCACTTTCGGTAGGGAAAATAGAAAACCTGGCGAAAAAATTAATCACGCGCCATAAAGCGAAGCGCAAAAATATCTGCTGGCGGAAATTTATGAGTCGAGCGCGCGGGCTGTGTGTGCTTTATGTTGTTTGATGGCAGCAGTAGTGAGCGATTGACAATGTGCCAATGCCATTCACTCAGTGCGGACGTGTCAGAGAAGAAAAAAAGATACAAAATCGACATCAAAATGCACGCTCCGCCCTGCAGAGGAGGGGTCTTAGATTCTTGTCACTTCTCGCCGAAGCCCCCGAAAACAAAATGCCAGTTAGCTACTAATGATACTGCTGGTGATGATAATGATGAGACCAGAACATCAAATCAACAGCGTTTGAGTCTCCACTTTACGCTTGCCTCATTTAAAAGCGCGCCCGTGTATTGAGATGCCGTTACATTATAACCATTTCCAATAAAACAAACAAAAGGTCGGAGTTTTATATTGTCTGATTCAAACTAATAATGAATTGCACGGGCCCCCTCGCTTCCTTACACCATAGTATGGTCGCCTCCAACAAGCCGTGCTTACAGGGGCAGGAACACAGATGACATGTTTATAATATTGGAAATAGACGCCGCAAACCAATCAGCGAAGGGTCCGCGGTTGAGCGACGGCCCCAAGGACCAACGGCTGGCTCCCGCTGAGCAAGAACGCCCGCCTTCAGAGCTCAATACCTTTGCTACGGTTGTACAGAGAGATATCAACTTCTGATTGGCCGTTGCCAAGGGTGACATCTACTGCAAAAGCAGGCGGCGCTATGTTGCTATGGTAGCAGACTGCTCGGTGGGCTTAAAGCAAAGAGACACACTGAAACATATCTGCGCCTTCCTCCGGTTGCCTCGCTTCTTACATACGCTTTACTAAACCCACTGTGGTTTTCCCGCCAAACCACTGTATTTTCGATTCCAAATCACTACATTTCACGTAGGCTGGCGTTGTTGCGATTTACAATACGCGTCTTTTGTTCAGTCATAAACCTACACCGTTTTGTTGGATTTTTGTTCTTGTGCTGAGGTAAATAAGAGCTCATCACAGACCAAAAACTATTACAAAGGAAATCTATATATATATATA